GCCTCTTCCAGTGTAGGGTTCCCATGGGGTCACAGCCTACCTTGGGCATTCATCTGCTACACCAAGGACCCCCACGGGCTGCAGGGTGACAGCCTGCTTCATCACAGCCTTCACTGAGGGTTGCAGGAGAATCTGTACTCCGGCCACTGGAGCATCTCCTCCTTCTTCTCTGACTTGGGTGTCTGCAGGGCTGTTCCTCTCACGTATTCTCACTCCTTTCTCTCACATCTGTTGTGCATTTTTTACCCTTTTTTACACAGGTTATCACTGAGACAATACCAGCATCACTCACAGGTTCAGCTTGGGCCAGCAGTGTGTCTGTCTTGGAGCCAGCTGGAACTGGCTCTGACACAGAGGCAGCTCCAGGTCTCTTCACAGGAGTCCTGAACTCTCCTGCTACCAAAGCTTGCCACATAAACCAAGTAAGTCACACAGATAGAAACAGAAACAAAACCCATTCCAAGTGATTAAGTCAAACGTAAGAATAACTGCCCACACAGACTCTTGGCTTCCCACACAAGAGCCTTTCACATGAAATTCAATGCTAAAGGCTCAGTGAAATCCTCTTTGCATTTCTCTCCTTCAGGGCATAACATCGCTGAAATCCTCTCTTTCACCTGACACTTGAATAGCCAGGAGCCCACTATGCTTGACGTAAACGGGTATGGCTGTGAGGGATTATCCGTATGGGATTTCAGGATGAGAACAGAACTTTGGTCCCCTGAGAACAACTGCTCTACCCAAATAAACTCATCATTTTTTATTTTTATGTTCTCACCTCTCATGAAAATGGAGAACCTGTAGCTAAAAATAAGAGTAACAGATACCCATAGCGTAGGATCCTCATATCCTAGTAAGATGGGGATAAAGCATTCCTAAGGCTCTAGACACAGTCATAAAAGAAGTGTGTCAGGCCTAATTCTCTGGTAATTACCAATTCATTACTTACTGTCCCGTGGTATATTAGTGCTGATGTAGACAGCTGATTCACAATCTATTCTTTGCTTATGTATTACTAAGTTCTATTTTGAGAAATCAAAAGGATTTCTCAATGGGGCATAAGCCTTGGAGACTGAAAAGAATAGCAGCAGAGCCAGAGGAATCCCAAACTGCACTACTCTTTCTTCTTCCACATAATAACCACTCCTTTTTTTAAATGAGTTTTGTATACAAACCCAGTTATATACCATGTGATAGGTGGGTGTTTAATGTTTGGCTGGAAGAGGCCATATCTCCATGCATTCCCACCAAAAAATGCATCAAGAACTGTAAAAGGTATTTATAAAGGATGGGTATTATAACACCACTTAAACGGAAATTGTCACACTGGGGCCAGTGATGTTTGTATGCGGAAGTAAAATTAGTCACAGTAATCAAAGTTTCTTAATTTTACAGAAAAAGAATTTTCTCAAAATTGAAATAAAAAACATTAAAACATTCAACATTTAAAAAGGGGGGTGTTTTAATCTTCCTAATTAAGATTTACACAGAAATAAAAGATATATATTCTAAACACTTATACAAAATAATTCAAAGCCTGCTTTCGTTTTTAGAATAGAATAAACTTTTTCAGATGGAAGGCACTACAATAACCATCTAGTCCCATTGCCTGAGCTATTCAGCACTGACCAAAAGTTAAAGCATTTTGTTAATAGTGTTGTCCAAATGCCTCTTGAACAGATTTGGGGCATTAACCACCTCTCTGGGAAGCCTGCTTTGCCTTCTGAGATGCTAAGGGAAGGCAAAGTCCTATGAAGGATTAGTCAACTTTCTTTTGCAAAAGAATAAATGAAACAAATAGGGAAAACAGCTGGGATGCTGTAAGAAAAGAGCACACTGTATCACAGACAGGAAGAAAATATTCTGTGCTCCTAAAGTAGAGATAGTATAATAGACTTTCCAGTGATACCAATAACATTTTCATTAGGTCTAATACCATGAAAAATAAAATTCCACATATTAAATCTGCAAAGCTATTAAAGGAATGATCGAGAACACTTGAAAAGCAAATAAACTCTAGAAGATGATATTAATATATTACTTTTAAAACTACACTATAAGATCTGAATGTAAATATTTCAAATACTCTGTCTCTACTGACCTCCCCTTAACACAAATACATATCATATTTAATTAAATTAATTGTATTTATATTTTCATGGAGTAAAAAAAAAAAAGTTTCTTCATGAAGCACATAAAGATTTGGCTGCTTCTGCAAGCACAGGAAAAAATTGTTTTTACACAACACAGGAAAATATTATGACTGATAATATTTGTAGTTACGAGACTGCAATAAAGATCTTAGCCTATATTATTGACCTCAGTGGCAAAGCTCAATTGAAATCAAAAAGAAACATCTGCTAAGGATCTGCCCAGTGAAATGTTCTTGGCACAACCAGCCAGTATCAGCAAGAGACAAGCCCTCATTTATCATGAGATGTACAATTAGCTGGACACATATCTTTAGCCCACCAGATACTATACACTGAATGTCTTTACAGTCAAGGTATGACAAAGCGTACATACTTACATCTGTTGAAAACTATACAAATGCTTGTGTCTATCTAGCAGTCAGATAATTTGGGTGACAAAGGCCAAAATATGCCAGAAAGTCTCATCGGACAGAAAGACCCCCCCTCCGGAAGGTCATCATGTCCAACCGTCTACTCACCTTATATATTGCAAATTTCCACATGATATTAGAAGTTAAATATATTTATACACCTTTATTTCTATGTAAGTTTATGAGGAGGATCATTTGGTAGTGATGCACTAAACATCTGCTTCCAAATCCTTGCTGCTGGCTGCTAGTTTTTGAGAGAAATCAGTATGCTCTACATAAAAGAGGAAAGCAACCCCTTAGAAAATATATCTAATGCCTATAAATGTACAGACTCGTAGAATTTATTATTCCTATCTGTGAAGAATGAGACATTTATGAGCAACTATGACTTTGAGGCACTACATGGAATTATTCCTATCAAAGATCCAGGACATTTTCCTGATTGTATCTGAATGATATAAGGGAACATAAGGATTCTGAAACAGCAAAATACAGACTTCTAATTAAACGTGCACTTTCTGGCTTTAATCTTTAGATACAGAGAACAATGGCAGATTATTTGAGTTGAAGAAAAACTGACACATATTTCAATGGTTTGCTATATTTTTCATAATTTACGTATGCTAAGTGTCAGGTAAGGAAAACACCAATAAACAAGTCTGTGACAGAGAGGCTTCCACTTCTATTTCTTACCTGTTAATGACTTTATGTGTTTTCAGACTTAATGCATTAATAAGAAAAAAAAATATTAAAGACAGATAACCACACGCCCTCATGATTCACATCCTATATAATCTTGCTAGGGAAAAATCAGTTATAAGGTGGACATGACCCATGGTGTTACTCCTGAATAATTATTATACTCTTTCACTTGGTACTTAAGAGACCTGCAAAGAGCATGGCCTATGAAACTCCACCTGCTGTGTAGAAATAAGTTGTTCAACAAGGCTACAGTCTGCAGCAGCAAGTAAGCAGAAATTCTCTGCTCAACTCAATTATTTCATCAGAAAAAGTTGAGACAAACTGAGTAAATCAGATGAGTGTTACTACAAGCCAACCAAGGGCTGGTGCTCTAAGAGCATGGGGAGTGAGTAGGTTGCAGATTGAAAATGAGGTACTTGGGAGAGTGAAAAAAGCTTCCTTGTTGTGCACAGGGATAATTACAGCAACAGGGCAGCAGGGCAGGTTAGTTCTTGTGCTCCCAGCTCTTTCAAACAGGGTTTAAGCTGTCTGTGTGTCTTTGCCCTGGAATAATAATCTCCCCCCTGCCCAGCTTCAGCAGCAGCAGCAGCAGCAGCAGCACACCGTTGGACTCACCAAATCACACTTTGGGCAGTGGCCAATGTATCTGTAGATACCATAACACCTCTGTGTGCTTTGTAACCTGCAGTTTAAGCAGGTTGGGGTTTTGCTTGTCTTGTTTCACCCCAAGTATGGCCATGATGAGTGTTTATTTCAACACAAGAGTAGAATAACTACATGATGAACAAGGAGGATCACGGCATGAAAGTCAAACATATGAAAAATCCTGCAACCAAGATCAGGTTTATCAATTTCAATACTGGCAACAGCCCTAGCAAACCACAAAATATCACTGGAAGTCAGATATGGCTCCATAGACACATGGAAAATTATACTGTACACAACTGCCAAGGATCAGAGTCCATCTAGAACTAAAATAAGTTTTAGGGAATAAAATTTTGGGAATGCAAGTGTCTATCAGATTATAATTTATTCTTGTAATAAAAAATACATACTTACACAATGAAGGAAAATGTGAAAGGGCGAATTGAGTGTGAAACTGACCAATTTAAAAAGTAAACTAATTAAAACACTATCAAAAGTTTCATTTTGGTGTAAGGAAAACTATACCCTTTTCAACTTAATTTCACTTGTTAAAAAAAGGACATTGACTTACTTTTCAAACATTTTGTCAACCTGTTTAAATCACTTCTTAAAGATTTAGTGAGACTGCAAAATATTTAAGCTGAAAATAAAATAATTTGATATATGTGTTCTCAATAAAGGACACATTTTTCACCAGTTTCCTTATTAGTGCAAGTGTTTATATGACTCCAACTAATAGGTATGAACCAACCTCCCTTAAAAAAAAAGTTACAGATTTTTCTGTGCAAAGAGACTGTTTTTCTTTCTAAAGATCAATTTCACCAGTAAATGCAGAGCAATTTCATTCAATATTGCAGCTTTCTTTAAATCTTGGTCTCCACAGACCCAGACCTACAAACCTTCCATGTGCTGATACCTGGTATGATCATTGGCATGAACTTGCAATGGAGGACACTGAAACACCAACATAATCTGCAAAAGATGCCAGAGCTCATATTGTCCCCACTAGTATCTCTGGAAACATCTTTTTGATTAGAATGAAATACTTTTGCTGTTCATTTTATTATTTGGAAAAAAAAAGACTTCTTACCAAAAAATATGATCTTTAGAAACTCGTTCCTGCAGAAGGATCCATTTTTTCCCTAAGTCAGTAGATACATAGACCTAAAAAAAAGGGAAAAAAGGGGAAAATTAGATGATCGGAAACTGCTAATGTACATCTTCAAAGACAGGTCCTATGTCACTGTTAGATGAAAGATTGTACACCAATTAAAAAAAATATATTTTTCAGAGTAACAACCTTTCACAGAGAAAATATTTTGAAATATAATCTATAATTTAAAAAATTCTGTGACAATTTCTTCTTATTTACCATGAAAACAATTCACAGTTAATTTGGGGTCAAATTCTTTTTTACATCAGCATGGTTACTCAACAGGGATGGTAGAAGGCCACTTCTCTTCCCATTGTTCTTGACCAAACAAGAAAAAATGTTCCCTTTATGCCATCAAAAATACCAAACCAAGAAGTCAATCTATTTAAAACTCTGCTAAAATAGGACGAAAAGATATTAGAGAAATGCTTAGGAGATTTGATGAGTTTGGGGCCCATGAGAAATGTTCCCTCATCAGAGGCAGAAGATGGCCTGGACAAGGAAGACTCCAGCTCCACCTTCCATATGAATAATTCACCTCTGGTTAAAAAGCAAATGCTAATGATATGGATGGATACAGAGTGCAGATAAAAGTTGTTTTCCCCCAGACTAAAGTGGGATATAAACTAGCTATTAAAAAATCTCTCTCCTTTAGCATTTGCCTTCATTATGTGTTTCCTCTAGTTAAAATAGGAAGTTTCTGTCAGACTTCTAAAAAGACAAATTAAAAGCCCCCCACTGTCTGTATGCATTTCTTATTTGATCCAATTTACATAAGATGGGTTTTCTCTTGATATCTCTAATAAGGAAAAAAAGACAAGCAAAACTCCTCTGATTTGGGAAAAAGTCACACTTTCAGACACTGACTGTTCTGGGGGAAAGTGACTTATAAGGACTAGTAAGGAATGCTTTTGGTTTAAAATGGTGGGTTCAATGACAAGAGATGAAAAAACCCCCACTGTTATGTATTAAGTTCTACTACAGAAAACCAGCAATATTAACATATATAAAGATAAAGGTTGAGGTAACTTAGGTTACTTGCGTAAATTTACTAAAGTTTAAAGCAGATATAAAAGAGTATTTCTCAGTTACTCTGCACTTCAAATGGCTTTCTTCCATTCCACACTCAATTAAAACTGACAAACCACAGTTAAATAGGAAACTACAATGAGGATTCAGACTGCTTACTTTAGCACAGACAGAAATGATCAAGGATCAAGAACTCATCATCCTCAGAGTTAAATGATGGGGCTGCAGAGCCAGGCTCCTGATTTGCCTAAGTTCCTGGTATTAGCTTTATTGCTCTGAGCAACCTCCTGGGAGGGACAAATGTGGGCTTTGAATGGGCTAGATTGTGCAGGATGAAGAACCTAAGCTGCTTACTGCTTCAAACATTTGTCACCACAGGTAATACAGAAAAGATAACCATTGGTTTTACCATCTTTCTAAAAGGTCCCCACTCATCGAGTTACCTGCCTCAGCAGACTGCTTAAATCAGGGAGAGATGATCACTTAATGTGCTACCCTAACCCTGGTGTCTCAGCGGCAAAGAAAGTCAAGAGTTCAGAGGCTCCTGGCAAGAGGGTAAAGCCGTGTTTAGGATAAAGGACAAAACTGGTACGTGAACAAAGGGATACAGTTTAGTCAACAATGAATTTCAGAAGTAAATGAGAGAAAATTCTTGCCTTTATAAAACAGTGATGCCTGAACAGTAGGGGCCAAAAAATACCAAAGTCTGGGAGCTTATGAATGAAGAGTTTGGCTCACTGCAGGGGAAGGCCTGGTTATCTTATTGTAAGGGAGAGAGAAGTAGGACTAATAAGTCATATTCAAACCGAAACGATATTTTAACTGACACAGTATTTGAAATCAGTAAAAAAATAACATGTAACTAACTTATGCACACATTGAACTATCTATAGCAAAAAAAAAAAAAAAAAAAAAAAAAAAAAGTGACACGTGTTCTATTTCACCACAGGGACATATGATAAAACTACTAAATGAGATCAAATATGGGGTGAAAGCAGTTGTATTAGTGGACAGCTAAAATCTCTGGCTTCAGTAAACACATCTCATAGATCTTGTAATTCTGTTTATTGCCACCCATGTAATAAATGTGAAGAATCACACTTTTTAAAAAAAAATTTGAAAATACTTTTCTGTTTTGTAATTTTTTCATCCTTTCAGCTTCCAAGTGAATGACTAAAATCTACAGCATCTCTTATGAGGTTTTAAAAAAAAATCTAGAAACATTTATGTAGACTCAGCGAATAGCTGATTGTTATTCATTATAACTGAGGAGTAGCCAGAAAAAGAGCATACAGATTTGAGGCAGTAAATGGATTAATCCAACAACATTGACTGGATTTGCATTAATTTATAGTGTCAGCTAGAGGCTAGAGCTCTATTAAACAGAATCTAGGGTTCCAAATGAATGAACAACGCATATTTTGCAATATGAAATAAGCGCTAAATCGAATCAAAAGTTGTGAAAAAGGCCATGATGCTGCAGCAGACAGAGAAGCCTTGCTGACTGCAATTTATGAAGGTCCTGTATTCCTTGCAGTCTCCAAAGTGCCTTTGTAAGAAATCATTTGAGTAACAGGAGGTAATGGTTTCTCCTGAGTTTTAGATTGTGTTACATTCTGATTCAACTTTCTTCTAGGAAAGGTAAAGTTACTTGACTCAAAAATCTAGAGCACACTTGTCTCCTCAGGGCAACTTCAGATCAACACTATCTCTCAGGATCATTGATTTTAGTACAGTGACCTTTTCTTGTGTCAAGTGGCAATTCTGATTTTCAACTCTTTCTATGCTAACATCACTTTATCTTCCTCTCCCTTCTAGGCCAAGTATATCAGATTTTATACTAAATGTAAGCAGCTTACTGACCCAGTTATAGTCAAAGGCATCCTTCATTCATACACATCTTAGGTAACAATGTAGGACTTGTCCAGTAAGTCTTCTTGGTTAACTCCTTTTAGTGTAATATTGAAAGCCTGAGAAAAGTCCATCAGATTACCTAACCTTTCCCTGCTGGTCCTGCAGAGATAGCTCTTTACTGACTATTTTGTAGGGTTTTTTTGTCCAGTCACATTTAAACATGGAAAATAACAGCATCACTCATTTTGGAAGACTGTCCAAGTCTAAAATGCCAAACAATTTCCCTAACATGCTCAATTCATCAAAATACAAACCAAATGCTTCATTTTGTATTTCTGTCTTCTTCTCTCTTCTTACAAATACTTCTAACCCCTTTTGGGCTGGTCAGCTTGTTCAATACACTTTGGACTCTTATACTTCAGTGCTCTGCCAATCTGTAACTATGTAGAGTTCAGTAATTATATCTACCATCAGGAAAAAACATCAAATTGAAAAAAAGATGTTTTCATAACATAGACTTTCTATTTATTACTTCAGGCTTCCATGAAGTATTTTATTTACATAATATGCATTCAAGTTATTTGTAATTGTGTTATAATTTGAAATTGAAGCTAAGTAAAATATTTAGTATAATCTCTGACTTAATTTGGTTTGTTCTGTTTTTTATTTTAGTTCTATCATTATTTTCAAATGCCTGTAAACATGAATTGATTTTGGATCAGCTGTTAAATTATATATCCCGGGAAATATCCCAGAGGATGATCTGATATAACACCACCGGAATCAGTGCAGTATTTGGCTGCAGCATGTGCAAATTTCTCTGACTAATCTCACCACCTAAATATACATCTTCTGTGCAGTCTGACCAGTTTAAAACAGGAGTAATGATGGAGGTGAGTCAAGACAAACACCAAGACCAGAATTACAGCGAGTTTGCAGCTGCAGTTTTGGCACTGGGAAAAGGAGATGAGATGAGCTACACACTCCCCAGTGCTTAGCCCAACCTATCCAGAAAAATGACTTTACAATTTAACCAGAAGAAATCTGAAAGCGGTTCAAAATTTATAAACACGAACAACTCCTGAATCTGACAGTGCTATAAACACATCATAAGAGAAACAAGTAGTCCACATTTCCACTGATTCCCCAAATCCTACTCTGCTGTTTGAGTGTGCAGTTTGTTTTGTATGACTTTATTTTACATCCCATGAACAGCTTTTGAAGGCACTATTTCAGCTTCATTAACTTTCTACTATACCATAATTTTTTTATGCTCACTTTCTAGGGAGGAGCACATTTCAGAAGTATTAGCTAACTATATTATGCAGGAGGACAAATATTCCCAATATCCATATCAACTGAAAATGCCAGGACTGAAATTACCATAGAAACAAAGATTTGGACATGAAAATAATTAATATTTAAGTAAAGCTCAAAACCACTATATGATTCCCTTCTGTGCAACAGGTATTTCATAAAAGCCAACACCAATAAGCATATCAAAAATTGTTATGTCATGTTAACAAAGTAACTCTTAAATTTCAAGCAAATGCTGTAACTTCAAGCTTTACCTTGCCTTCCTTGGTGTAAGCAAGTATTTTGTCTTCTTCTTTCGGGTGAAAAAGGAGAGTTTCCACAAAGAAAGTAATGGGTTGTTTCTGGAAAGTAGCTCCTTCATCTGTGCTTATGAAAAGGCTTTGGTCACGGTCATTGTGGGAAGAACTTACAAGAATTATCTAAAAGACAAAAACAACAACATACATTCAGAAGACTGTTTTCTCTATGACAGAAAACACAGCCTTATTTTTCTTGTGTAAATGTCAGATTTTGTACATAGCTTACCTACCAAAACTCTGTGGACAAGAAACAAAAATGTATTTAAGAGCTAAGGACTGCAAGGTCTTATTAATCTTGCCTGACCAAATCCATGGATGTTAAATTCTATACCTTCCCTTGCAAATCACACCAAATTGATCATGTTCCTCATCTCTACTCAGAACGACTGCCTTGGCTTTTGGTGCTTTTGAAAGGTTCATGAGGCCACATGAGAAAATCTCCAGACTAACAAAAAAAAGACCCAGTTGTTAATGACTCATTTTGACATGACCATATAAACATGGCCTAGTGAGGCTACTAAATGTAAAAGTAATCATTGCCCTAATTATATCAGGTGAATGACCCAGGAGAAAGAACCAGTTAAAAACATCTCTCCATTCCTTCACCATTCTCCTCTTGCTGACATATTTTGGATAAAAAAGGCAATTCACTTCAATGCAGAAAAATGTGCCAATAAATTCTTTGCATTTCCTTCTCAGGTCCAAATTATGTCTTGACCCTAACAAAGAAATATCTTGAGCTTTGTCCTTGTGTGACCTTCATATCAAGCTTTCAACAACAAAGAAATTCTCCCCACCTAATTCAATCAGAACTTCACTCTTTTCAACTTCTTCACCTTTTGCAGTCGGTCAGCATGTTATAGCATGGTTCTAAAACTGTCAGTGTGAGGATCTATTTATGATTGTCTTTCCAGATCAAACGAGTTCATTTGGCATTCAAAAAGGTGCCTTTATCAACTGATAGTCTGCAAACAAAATGAATTTTCAAAGTCCAGCTGGGCTAGCTCACACTCCAAAAACAATTAAAAAAAAATCATGAAATCAAAATGTATTTAGAATATTCAGCAAATGTTGTAGAAAACACCACAGAATACTGATCACTGTGATACAATGACTGTAAATTGCTTACAGAGATAAATAGCAATGAGTTATGCAAACAGAATTACAATAATGTGGATACAGAGAAAGAAAAATACTAGAAAAAACAGGATAATTTTTATGTAGTCACTTTCTTGGATTAAAGCTGAAGTTAAAATTTTGAATTTTCAAATTAATTATACAGATATGACAGCTGTATGAGCTTTTTCTACAATCGGTCTTGGGGGGAAAACTACAAATCAAACATTTGTAGATGCTCCAATTTGACAGATTACTTAAGCATGCGCACTTGTACTTGAAGCACATACACAGTTTCACTGATTTCTGAAGGGCTTTTGTATACCTCAAATGGGGTGCGTTGCTGAAAAAGAGAGAGAATTGCACATACTTCAGGGTTCATGGTCCACTGCTGAAATCCCTCACTAAAGCATACATTAAGCCAAATCTACTTCCATCAGCTGTGTGACTAGGTCAGTAAGAAGAGCAAAATAATAACCCATTATGTTGCTATAATCTTGTATTTTTTAATGATATAATTTACACAAGAGTAGGAATAGGAAACTGACATTTTTAATAGAAAGCCTCTGTAAATGACACCTTCACAAATGTCATCTCTTATTCCTGCAGTATCCAGTGGCTTCCTGTCTCTTGAGAAGTGCTTCACACAGGGTCTGTTTAATTTATTATTATCTACAGTCCACCAGTAGCTGCTGGTGGCCTCGATACAACATTCGAAGACTCTTGTAACACACTCAGTAAGTTTTCTGCAGAGAGCACGGAATTAGTTTGAAATGGAACATGCCTGTGATGTGCTGCCCTGTCCCTCTGCTTGCATTGCAAGGTGGAGTGAGGAAGCATTTATGCCCGGTATGGAGATCTGTACCTTCCTTGCCAGACTCCCATCTGCAATTCAGGCTCAAAGTATCTATTTTAGCAGGAAATAGATAAATCCAATCGATCTGCCTGCTGGGAGAAGTATATAATGCTCATTCCTGTTGGTTCATGACCAGAACACAGACAGAAGTACCAGGTTCTGTCCACAAGCACGGCTGCAATGTGAGCTCCACAGTTCCTGATGAACCTTGTGTCCAGACACATCCTCACATCTGAACACTGGCACAAAGCTGGTCCTGAGCCCCATCCTTAGGTTGCAGCATGTAGAAGCTCTTTCATGTTGTATCACCAGAAGCAGTACGGTAGTAATTCCATATGGGAAGCTTCATACCTTTGGATACAGTCTTCTAGTGCAAATAACACTTTCTGTAAATAGCATTATACTCGTTGTGTTCTGTTCATATTTTTAAAAAAGTATACAAGACAACAAATCAATATGGCATAGAAAAAGACACAAACTGCACCTGCACAAAACAGTAGTCTCTGGACTACAGTGCTATTGTCTTGGTTTTTTTTCGTTTTTCTTCTTTGTTTTGTTTGTTGGGGTTTTTTCCCCTGATTCTATAAATTGTACACTTGCAAAAATACCAAAATATTGGCTTCAAAATAAAAAAGGAATGAAATTCATAAAATGGGGAGTGGTTTTCACTGTTAATGAGGCTTAAATATAGGTATGTCTTAAATTTCATAATGCAGATCCAACAGCACATTGTAGAGAACATAATTTTAGAAACCAAAGTCAAAAGAAAAATGCTAGCTATAATGAAATGCAAACACACTGTGATATTTGCTAATGCTGTCCTTCAAAAATATTATGTGTCTTTTGAAGTTAAATCTATCAGAAAAAAAATAGCCTAAAGATTGCAGACTTCTAAGCATATATACCAGGGTCCCTAACTATTCTTTTATTCACACACACATCATAATTCATTTAATGAAATATTTTTGAATTTCACACAGTGTTCTGATTTATATTTCAATAGTTTAAACTGATCATTATGTGTCAGGCATACAGATTTCCTTCCCACAGCTAACACACCGGGTGCTCAGACTTGCCTGCTGGCTAACACTAGTTATTTAGGAAAATGCTCCAGAGTAAATATTGTACCCGTATTAAATGCTTTCCATAACAAGTTTTATTTACTTTGTAAGTGGAACAAGTAGTAAAACCTTCCTGCAAGCAACTGATGAAGGGATCCAACTGGGACATACTATCTGGAGAGCCAACTAGCAGTTACTGCTGAGGGTTTTACTCAAAATAAACAACTACTTCCCTGAATAACTGTGTATTCAAAAAAACAGAACCGATTTTAAGCACAGCTAAGTTTCGCTTAAGCTTCTTTTAAACAACTTTTTACATACAATCTTTTCCCCCCTGTGAGACTCTTTTAATATTTTTTAGTAAACTGTAAATTTGTATTATGCTGTTTATTTCTGACCGCACTACTTAATCTCTCATCAGCTAAATAAACCACACTAACACGTGTAAATGCATTCAGATCAGACGTAAATCTACAACTCCCAAAAGTTAAGCACAGGTGAAAAAATATTTCAAGGAGATAAACAATATGATAAATGTAATGAAAAGGAGTAAAAATAGTATATGTAATAGATAAACAAGGAGGAAGGAAAAAAAAATCTAATAAAACCAAAAAATGCTCCATCATGCCAACATATTAATTAAATCATTCCAAAATAAAGAAAATCCATGCTTTTCCTCATTTCAGGAAAAGTTAGGGAGGCAGGAGTTAATAGAAAAACCAAATAAATCTGAAAATAACATAATTAAATCCATTTATTTAATCTCTCCTTCAGGACTTATTGGCCAATGTCTAACCATTCTTGCTTTGAGTGGAATCACAATCTGAGCCCCAAAGGATGAAAAGATTCTGATGGCTTAGGCTACAGTACTTTGCGTATCAGACTTCTTTCACTGTTACCATGAAGACTTGGAATAATCACAGTGATTACTTGGGAGTCTTAACTGTAGATTTGGCAGCAATTCAAAGCTATGCTGCAATTTCAAGTGGCAATAAACAGAAGATATTAACATGCATCATTTGCACTGTGTCTGAAATACAACCCCCCTCCCCTCAGTTTAGGTCCAATCAAAATTTAAACTCAAGACAAATTTGATCTTAATCAGCACTTTCTCTAAAACAAGACAGTCTTCTAACATATTACAATTCTGATATCTCTTTCAGCTTCAGCAACTGATCCTAATTTTAATTGTAGGTTTTATTTTCCTTTCTGTTTTGCTAGCATTAAAAAAAGGAAAAAATGAAAAGTCAAAATATCCATGATGAATAAATTTTTAGACTCACAGCATCTGACTTGCTACAGGAGATTTTTGCAGTAAAAGGTGTGAGAGACGCTATTTTTTAATTTTATAATCCTACATAAGGTCAGGAACCAAGGCACCTCATATTGCTCAGCATTCTATACTGACCTTGAAGGAAGAAACCTCCTTTGGGCAGAGTAAGAAATCAAAACATAGGAACTCTTCCTTTAAGCACACAGCAGATGTGCTGAGAAGCCAAACATGCCCAGGAAGAACCAAAACCCCTTCAGCCACCTTCAGTAGGCTGAACTCCCACTGGACACAGAAGATTCAGCTATGGGGATATAATCCTAAAGAATGCTGGCGGCACTCCAGCAAAAACCTTAACAATATGAACTTATGAGTTCATCCCCACTGAAGTAAAATTATTTTATAGAACACTTCCAGGGATGGGCCATCAGTAAGTTCTCTGAACAACAACCTTTCCAGCACCTCACCATCTTCACAGTCGAGAATTTCTAACTAATACATAAACTAAATCTACCCTCCTTCAGCTTAAAGCCATTAAGAACATGCAGTGCTAATGCCTAGATGAAGATTCTCAGCTAAAATGCTGAGATGACGCTGCTGGGCACAGGGTGCCACCAAACTCCTGGTGACACCATTACACCAACCTCCATTCCGGCATGTGTGTTTAAGGAAAATATTCTTTGTGCCAGTACTGCCAATCTCAGGGCAGTATTCACAGAGCTTCACAACACTGCAGTCACACCCTCACCATTTTTCAGATTAAATAACTCATCTATATTTCTTGGGTTTACAATTTATGTTATTTATGTGTTACTAG